AGAGAGAGAGAGAGAGAGAGAGAGAGAGAGAGAGAGAGAGAGAGAGAGAGAGAGAGAGAGAGAGAGAGAGAGAGAGAGAGAGATGGAGGGAGATGAAATCACGGACAATCAGTCCATCCGCGTCATCCCGCGAGGGAAAAAAAATATTGTTCTTGTGTGGTGGTTAAGCAGTGAGTTCGGCAGATGCCGATGCTGGTGTTGTTCGAATGCGTACATATCTCCGTTGATCCATTTTCAGTTTGTTGTCGCTGTTTTATGCGGATCGAGAAACTGCGAACAACAGAGAGGAAAGCACGAGAGAGAGAGAAAGAGAGAGAGACAGAGAGAGAGAGAGAGAGAGAGAGAGAGAGAGAGAGAGAGAGAGAGAGAGAGGCAAACAATCAATCCTTCCGTTGGGCATCCCGTGGACCCGTTGAAAGCAATCAATGCTGTTATCGCTTGCTAGTTTTCCTTTCACTAGGGCGCAATGATGGATGGTCCTGTTGATGTTGACATCGTGCAATGGTGAATCTTTTCATCTTCTAGTCCGTGCAAAAGACTATCAGCGGTTGTCATAGTTCTTGTGTGTGTGTCTTTGTATGTGATGGGTTTATTTTCACGTCTTTTATTTCGCACTTTTGTAATGCGTTTTCCGATGACCACAAACAAAGCAAGACAACAAATAACAAAGAATGTCATATACAAGAAAGATTCATCGAACACATCATCAAACTGCGAGCAACGATGTTAAAAAAATTAAAACGAGCTCACGAAAAAAGATAGCCTCCACCCTCTAACCACACTTCCTCGGTTGATTAGCCAAAAGTTGAGATGGAAAATCAACGTACGCAAGGAAAAATATAAAAACAGTGTGACGACACTGCACGAAATGTAGACAAGAAGATGGAGTTCATTGAAAATGAAAAGAAAACAAAAGACAAGTAACTATCATCATCGGACAGTGAACAGAACTTCCACACAACGAACTTCAGCAACAACCCCCCTCTCCCCCCCCCCCCCCCTACCCTCCCCCCCCTCAACCCAATAAAACCCCTGTACATTAATCAGACGGTGGGATCGATCCCCACACTGACGACAACTAACATCAAACCGGGCAGAGGCAATCCCCGACCGACCAACCATCCACAAACCCCTCTGTTGAGAACCCTAACATCCGAGACGGAACTCCCTATCGCATGTGCATGTGGAGAGCATCGCGCAAAGCGAGGGCAGCCTTTGTGGCGCTGGCCTGGGACACGGGGTGTGGCAAATCCTGCAAACTAAGGTCGATGGGGACGGTGTTCCCATCCCGGTCGCGGTCTAGCAACAAATGGTCGCCGAATGCGACCCTGACCTCTAGCAACAGATTGTGGATGATGCAGACGGCAGTGAATCGCTGCGGAAGGTTATTCATATTCGTCTTGTCATGACGCAGGAATAACCTCCACATCCTCTTCAGTCGTCCGAACGCTCTTTCCACGACCCCCCTCGTAGTCTTCTGTCTCGTGTCGAAAAGAGCGACGTCCCCCGTCTGCTCCGACCCTCCGTACGGAACCACAAGCCACGTGCGCTGGGCATAACCATTGTCCCCCGGTAGGTACCCTGTCGTCCTCACCCCCCCCGGGGAGGACGATCGGGTCCGCGTGAAAGATGTCGTGCGCTTTTGCTCGCCTGATTAGCGAAGAGTTCCGCAGCCTGAGTTGATCGTGGACGCACCCGGGATAACCGACAAAGACGTCGATGATCCGCAAGTCAAGGTCGACGACGACCTGTACGATGACAAAGAATTGCTGCTTTCGATCGAAGTAGTTCTCAGACGACGCGTTTGCAGGCTTGTCCACATAAATCATGGTGCAGTCAATGGCGTCGAAGCAATCAGGGAAACCTTTCCCGCTGAAAGCTCGGATGACCTGTAGGAGACGACGGCCGGTTGGAAATGCGATCTTGACCGGATACGCAGCCAAGATGGCATTCGTCACATCTTCCACAACCTTGATGCCCCACCACCTCCCAATGTCGAATGATGACGTGCTGCTCTTGAAATTCTCTCCGGATTTCCACCTATATAACACGTAAGCGACGATGTGGTCGGGCTGCAATGGCTCCCGATAGTGAGTCAGTCTGCGGTGAAGGACTGCACGCCACACTATGTCATTGAACACTGTTGACGTCATCTACAGTTTGTCATGGAAATAGTCGTCTGTTGCATCATCGACGATGGTGAGGTTCCTCCATGTTCCACCTGTCCTTCTTTTCACCCACCACCTCGGCATCTCCCTCGGCGTCACGCCCACCATGATGGCATTCGACAAGAGGAATGACGCATCCCGTAGACCTGGTGAGGAATGCACGTCCATCAAAGCCTAGGCTATGGCGGCCTCCCATCTGCCCCTTTGTCTTCCGCTGGCCCACTGCAGGTCGTTCACCATCTACATGTGACAACAAAATGCAAGCAGTGTCGTTCCTAACAGCGACCTCTCCCTCAGTGTCAGTCTTTGTGCCCTTGGCGCATCGCCGATGGCGTCTTCCATCGGCCCGAACGAACCGCAAAGATGCGCACAGCTTAATTTGGCGGTTGGCGGGCTATGGCGACCATCTTCCCAAGGCCGCAGGAAGCACGAATGATGGGAGAGAGCGCTGCCCACGAATGAGAGCGCAATTCAAATTCAAAATTATGCCGCCAAGCGCACCCTTCACATTGTGGGCGCCGCCTTCGCGCGCCCGGTAGGCTGCCCGCCCAAACGGTGAGGTCTCGAAAATTGCATTTCCCACGGGCCCGCAGGACAGGGACAACTTCTTGTCCACCATACAGCCTTCACGGACATCCATGCCCAGCAGGCCGACGATCTGACACCCGCCCCTCCTCACCTGAGATGTAAGGGTGGATAAGTGTAGGGTCTGCCTTACGGGCTGTGGAACGAAAAAAAAAGTTAGCGTAAATTAATCACCCTCGGCCCGTTAGGGTGCCCTTACAATGTAAGGATCCGTATGTGTTGTGGAACGAGCCCCGAAATTGCTTACCAAATTAAAATATATATTGTAATGACCCGCCATAATACAGACTGAGAACACTGCTGATTTCTGAAGTTCTGTCGATGGAATGGATGCCTTGCTGAGATTCCCGCATTCTGCTGTGTTTTCTAAGTCTGTATGTGTGCGTGCCTGTTGACTTGCGTGCCTGTCTGAGTGCTTGTTGGCATGAGTGTGTGTGTGACCCGCAAAGGTACTTGCTTGTTTGGTAGGCCCGTTGGGCCGGTACTTACCTGTGGCCGTGGCGTTGAGGGTTGCAGCAGGGAAAACACTCAAGTACCGGAGCCAGGGGCCCGCGGTGCTTAGTGCAGCGGAAAAACACTCAAGTAGCAGGTAGGGCGGTACCACACCCAGTAGCAGTAGATGTGCCGGGTCTCGAGGCCGAGCAGAAGAAGACAAAGTTGGCATTTTTAGAGGCTCAGTAGCGGTAGGCTAGGTCTAGGCCGGTACTAGTCCATCCAGTCTGAGTCTAGAGCCTGTACGGGCAATATTAGAGTCTGCAATGATGTTTCCCTCCGAAAGGGAGAAGGTACCGGTTGCTTGGGAGGCCGAGCGGCCTGGAAGTCACCGCCCAGGAGGCAAGCAGGCCGCTATATCAAGAGGTCGAGGCAAGAGCTCGGCCTCATTCTTCAGTGTGCGAGTTGGGTGTCACGCTATTGGAGCGCTGGTTGGAAGAGCGCTGGCTGCTACAGCGCTGCTGGGAGGAAGAAGCCGGGAGCTTCCACCTTGGTTATGGTGGAGCTCTACCGGTAGGAGGAGGAGGAAGAAGGGGACCAAGGGGGAGAGTGGTGAGGTACCTACCTTGCTATGGTGGACACCATCCTCATCACCTTGTTAGGCGCTGCATCTGGAAGCCCCCCGCTGGGGTAGTGCCGCACCAAGGAAGCTCGGGGTAGAGTCAGACATGGCGGTTCAGTGAGCAGCGACATAGCTGCTTGAAGTGGGGCAGCAACATAGCTGCTTTGGGTTGTCCTTTGGACAGGAGGCTGAAGCCTCGGTAGTCCGCCATAGCCTCGGCCTGTATGTAGAGGAAGAGGGTGGCATACAACTTCTATAGTGCGCTCTACACGTCAAGGGAGTCAGAACACCCGTCCCAACAAACGGCGGAAGCGAGAACCAAGTTCCTTACCTACTTGGAGCGTACGATAGATGGAGAACAAGCGCTGAAGCTAGATGCTCCTCTCTCACAGGAAGAACTATGGGCAGCCCTTAAGACGATGTCTCCAAACAAAACACCAGGAAAGGATGGACTTACAATGGAGTTCTGGATGGAATTCTGGCCAATTTGGGGGGGGGAGTACGAGCAGTACCTGAATAAATCTTGGCAGGAGGAGAGTCTAGGAGTAGACCCGGCCACAAGCATAGTAATGTTGCTGTACAAAAAGGGAGATCCAAAAGACATAAAAAACTACAGACCTATCATGTTATTGACACTAACACACAAAACAGTAGCAAAGGCCCTAGCCAACAGACTGAGTAAGGTGACCAGGGGTTGCTTTCATTTAGACCAGACATAATTTATCCCAGGACGCTTTATCCTCGATAATGTAATGACGCTTTCAGAGTCAGTAAGATACATCAGAGAAAAATGAATCAATGCGGCTATCTTATTTTTTGACTTTGAAAAAGCGTACGACCAGGTAAATTGGAATTTCCTTCAGCAATGTATGGAAAAAATGGGAGTGGGCCCAACTTTCGAAAATGGATAAGGGTTCTCTATAATGACGCCCACAGACAGGTCCAGGTAAATGGACACCTGTCAGAGAGGTATAGGATGTCAAGGTCGGTTCGACAAGGCGATCCTCTAATGACACTTATCTTCCTCTTTATCATGGAAACGATAGCTTCCTTCTTAAGGAAGGACCCCTCGATAGACAGGTTAGTCGCAGAACCAGACCAGCAAGGTAGAACCATCAAGCTCCCCACAACCATACTCTTCGCAGATGACTTAACAGTTCTGATACGGGCCTTAGACTACTCCTTCGAAGTGCTCACAAGGGCAATGAGTGCCTTCCAGCTATCATCAGAAATGAGAATCAATTGGCCCAAGACAATGGGTTGGTGGCTGGTACAAGGGACAGAAGAGGGGCAACTCCACCCAACGAAGTACGCCGGGATGAGTTGGGTCTCAACTGCGGAGCCCTTCCGATATCTAGGGGTTAGACTGGCGGACTCAGGCCGCCAGCACTCAATGGCACCGGAACTCCTGGCAAAAATGCTAATAAGGATCAGTGTGTGGTCCCAGGTCTACACATCCGTATTTGGACTTGCCCTCATTCTTAACACCTCAGTGTTCTCCATGATGTGGTATGCTGGCACGATATGGACTCCACCAGTCCAGACAATGAAGGAACTAAGGAGAAAATCAGCGGCGTTCATGTGGACATCGAATCCAAATAAGCAACATTTTATCTCCAAGGTGGCATGGCGGCATGCCATTAAACCCAAACCCCAGTCTTTGCATTTTTGATTCAAATAAAATATGGAACAAGAACTCAAGGCACTCCAAACGAAACGGATCTTGAAACTGATCACGCACCCTGGGTCCCTCTAGCTATGGAGCACATCAGGAAACAGACCAAGTACAAAACCCCCTCCAACATGGAAGGAACCTTCTGGTTATTGAGTGAGAGCTGGGCAAGGAAAGGAAGGAGTGGAAACGAGGGAGGAACAAAAGAAGGAGACCTAGGGGAGGGTCATATTGGGTTCAGTTGTTGAAAAGTTGGACGGAAATTTTCCCGGCGAAAGTCAAGGAACCTAGCACGAGGGAGGAAGTCATGAGACAACCCCTCTTCTGCAATCCATGGGTTAAGGACCAGCAGGGGAAACCGCGCACTCTTACAACGAAAGACACTAAGTGGGGAGCCTGGCTGGAGCACGGCATCTGGCAGGTCAAACACCTCTGGGTGGAAGATAAACAACAGTGGAAGACGGCTCGAGAGCTAAGGCAGGTGTTGAAGGAGAGCCACAGGCTTGCGGAGAATCTGAGTGAGATCTTGTCTTTAATCCCGGAAGGTTGGGTCAGGTTACTCCAGAGGCCACGACATTGGGACTGGGCAGTCTGGGGCAATAAGGACGCTCCAACGAAAGCATTTAGAATTGGGGGACAGGTGGGACCGGGAGCAGAAAGGCTGAGCGCACAGATGTACACAATCCAATCCCCAGGAGCCTATACAAGTCAATTGGACAAGGATACGGCCACCCAGATCACAATAAAAAAGGACCAGTTGAGGAAAGTGAGGGTGATCGAGACGGTGGAGTTCACACTCTTTGCTCCAACAACAGATATTCAGAACTTGGAGGTTGACCCAGCGGAGTGGGCCTGGAACCTCAGGGGGGGCTCACTAGGCACGACGAGAAGAACCAACATACTGCATTATACAACCAAGTTGGGCTACGGACTCAGGAAGCGCTCATCGCCATTAGCTGAACCCTTGGCACTTAGATGGGAGAAGAGAATGCAGGTGCCGAAGGAAAAAGTGGCAAGATTACCATGGTCATCCGTATATCAGATCCGCTTAAGCACGGTAAGGAGTTTGCAGTGGTTGATCCTCCACATGGCTCTTTGAGCGTCGCAGTCAGCACCACTGTGATTCCTCCAGTCAACAGTGCACACAATGCACGGAAGGAGTACCGGAGACCCTGCGTCACTGTCTCCTCTCTTGCCCAGAAGCAGTATATCCTGTCTCTTATACACATCTAGATGTGTATAAGAGACAGCAGAGACCCTGCGTCACTGTCTCCTCTCTTGCCCAGAAGCAGTATATCTATGGGACGTGGCCAAGTCACTCTGGACCAAAATTACAGACTCCCCTTTCCCCAAGGGCGAGGAGTCGCTTCTGATAGGAAGTGACCCTCCGGCGGTCAGGCCTCGGTACCAGAAGCGCACCTTCCAGCTTATAAGGCAATACGTACTATGGACAATATGGAAGAACAGATGGCAGCAGGCCATCGGAAACAAGCAAATGCACAGGCAAGAAGCGAAGGAGACACTCTACAATCCAGTGGAAACGGACATCCGGGCACAATGGAAGGGAATCCGCAATCAGGCCCAGCAAAACCCAATGCAAGCGAAGGACCTAACGGAAAATTTTCAAAAGAAGGTTTTGCTCCAAGGGAAGATAGCAACGTTAGCAGGCTTGACGCTGACTTTCCACTGCTTTGAAAGATAGAGGGTTCAAACAAGAAGTAACGAGGGTTTGAGGTACTGAAGAGGTATTTAAAAGCTATAGGTAAGACAGTAATAGCGGAAGGGTAGTCATAGAATTTCAACCTCTGGGGCAGTTAGTTAGGTTATGCTAGGATAAAGGATAGAGCGGCTTGCCCGTTTTGTAGGGTGGGAGGAGGTGTCGGGGTAATGGGAATGATGAGTCACAGCGGTCGGTTTTAGGGCTTAAGATGGGGATGGATGGAAAAGTAGTAGGCAGGTTCTTTCACCTTCTGCGATTGTGTCCTTTGTTAATCCAGTTTTAGTCTTTGTTCAGGAATAGCGTGAAGCTTCATAGGAGAAAGGGACACTGGACCCGGGTTCCAGCAAGAGCCAACTCTGGTAAGGGGCCCAGTCTTCCGGGTTGAGATGTGGAGAGATTCCCGGCCTCCTTTTGCTCCATATATAATAAAGCATGCTATTTCTTTAAAAAAAATAAAAAAATAAAAAAATAGAACGCATAATATATGCGTTAATCCAAAAATTACGGCTGTTTGAATAGAAATGCACATGCGTTGTGTTCGAATAGAAAGCAACTTATCGTTGTATTCGTTTACAATGCATATGCGTTATGTTCGGGGGAAGACGGTAGTGCTACTGATCCACAGACTCAAGGCTGGAGCAACAGCAGCTGGCGTACCTATGTTTGCTGGGTCATTCCTGTTGTAAATAGTTCTGAGTTTCTCTAGCATCTTCGAGTAACAGCCCAGCAGGACTCGGTTAGTGTACGAACTCTGGTTGGTCGGTATGCTAACCAGGTTAGTGCAGTGGCCTAACCTACCATCTTCACCTGAAAATAACGCCCGGGCGTTATATTCAACTTACCCTAAAAAGATCAGATTTTCGTTTTTACTCTCTTTTTCTCCAATAGAACGCCCCTTCAAATATAACGCCTGGGCATTACATTTGAATGTTCCATGGGCAGAAGGCCTTGCCGAGGTAGTATACATGGGTTTGAAAGGGCGGGGACGGGGATATACATGGGTTTCAAAGGGGGTTGAAAGGGGGTTTGATTTCCAAGGGGCATATTTCAGTTTGTTCTTTTTGTTTTTATTTTTTATTTCCGATTTTATAAGTAATTCTGTAGTGACCGTCAGCCAAAAGATGGTCACAGCGCAATTCTGGACAACATATTGTTTTTACAGAATTTTTTGATTCTTTTTTTGTTTTCGGAATTTTGGGTCCCCACCGAAGTTGCCACCATTTTACTGAATATAATGCCTGGGCGTTATAAACGAATATAATGCCCGGCGGGCATTACATTTGTATAGAACTTCCGGGCGTTATTTTCGGGTGAAGACGGTAGTTAGCGCACTGACCCTGGTTAGTGCAGTGGCCCAACCTACTTAGTGCACTGACCCTGGTTTGTGCACTAACCAGGTAAAAAACCAACACCCTGATTAGTGCAGGGCTTGCCTGACTCAGTCAGCACAACCAGCACAGCCAGCCTACCTATGCCTGCTTGTTCATTCCTCTCATCTAGCATCTTCAAGTACCAGGCCAGCTGCACTTAGTGAGTACAATGACTCAGGTTTGAGCAGGGCTTGTCTCAGTGAAGCAGCAATAACCATCAGAGAGCAGAGCTGTCTTTTTCCTCAGCAGCAACCAGCCCGTCCACGCTGCTTTTTTTTCCTCAGTTGGTTAGTGCAATGCTGGTCTGGGTGAAGCGCAATGAGCAGAAGAGATGAGTCCTTAGTCCTCCTCTTCGACCAAGCCTCTGACTGGTCTGGTTAGCGGAGTGACGGCGGTTCCTGGGGGTGATGGATCGTTGCTTGCGGATTCTCTTTTCTCATCATTGCTTTGACAACGCTTCTTCGAATGTGTGAAGATTATGTTTGCCTTCATGCGAACGCCTCATCATCGCGGATTGTTTTCATTCATATCCTTCATATCCTCTTGGACAGTTCTTTGAGCTTGGCTACGGTCGTTCTCAAGACTGGCTATGTTGGGAGGGACCGTGAGCACACCTTCCATCGGGACTCGATTAGACATGGGCCTGCAGATGCTAGGAGGGAGTGGTGCTTGCCATAGGGAACATCACGGAGGCCTACAGGAGTAGGTGATAGCTGGTGATACTTGAGAGGGTTGGTCAACCTTCAGCCCACGCTACCCCATTTCCCATTTCGTGTTCTACGTCTTGCAATGAAGATCACATCTTTTTTTGCTCATCTGGATTGAAGCAAATGATTGCACTGACTCTTTGTTTGAATCTTTCACTGCTGAAGAGAGGAGATTGGGAGGGGGAGGAGGAGGAAGAGGAGAGATTTGGTTATGGAGGTTCATGGAAGGTAAAGCTCATCGAAGGGATCGGTCCCTTGGATGCATGAACTTCAATTGTACTGCAAATTTCTGGTGACAATGAATGTTGGGGGAGTAACTGGTTGAAGAGCCCCCCGATGGTGGAGAGACGGGGATTGAGACATTGGTTTTCGTCTCATTGCAAAAAATTCCGTTTTTTTTTTTTTTTTTTTCTATGACTGAACTTTCGTCTGGTATTCATTGTGGATAACCAGTGTGACTATCCATGGTAGCTATTCAGTGTGGATAACCGGTGTGACTATCCATGAGTGTCGATCGGAGATTCATTGGGACGCACGGCTGGCTGGATGGGGGGGAAGGAGAGGAGTGTGTTTCTAGAAGATAGGTATAAACCTTCATTCTTGGCCTCGGAGCGGAGCGTGGGCGGGAAGGAACAACAAATGCAGCATCCTTGTTAACAGATCCTGGAGTCCCTGGTCTTGAAACAGATTTACTTCCCCTTGATTCACTTCTGCATAAAAAGCAAACAAACAAACGTGCACAATCACACACATGCATAGTAAGCACCCGATGGAATCGTCTAAGACCTTCGGCAGGTCCGGGTAGGCGTAGGTCTAGGTCTAGGGTCCAGGTCTAGGATGTGTCGCTGTACGGATCAACTTGCGATATGATATCATTAGGAAAGAATCGAAAAAACGAAATGATGCCTCCTGGAGTAGACTGTCCTTAGGGGTCTTCACAATCCATCTGATCTCCCAAATGCCTGAGTACTAAGGGCATCTTCTGAGGCCTCACCTCCAACCTCTACTACGACCTGGAACTTAAAAAAAAAAAAAAAAAAAAAACAATCACATGCACAGACGGACGCAATGCACAAGCAAGGGGGGGGAAAAAAAAAAAAAAAAAAAAAAAAAAAAAAAAGAGAGNAGAGAGAGAGAGAGAGAGAGAGAGAGAGAGAGAGAGAGAGAGAGAGAGAGAGAGAGAGAGAGAAGCTTTCAGTTTACGGTTTAGCAATCTTTCTTTTCTCTTTTAATAATTCACGGCCTGATGGGCCAGGGATCATATGTCAAACTCGTCAGAACAGATACTTCATTCGCTTGTTACAACAAGCTCACAGCACCATCTGCCCTCGCTCCGTTGGTACACCCATGAACTGTTGAAACACCGACCTGACTTCGAGTTCCAATGGAATGGATGAGTAATACCTCTGAATTTACCGGGGGCTGGTCAGTCCACAAATGATATCTCAAGGTTGTCGCCTTCTGAAGTGAAAAAAAAAAAAGAACAAGAAAACACCATTCAATGCATTCATGTAGAAGAATATAGCACATTATGCGAGGCTTTACTCTTGTGGAGGACACAATGTGCGAATAAAATAACTAGAGCGTCCTCACAGATTCTCCAGGATCGCCCTTCTGCCTCTGTCAGACTGGAAAAGGTGGCGGCAGGGCACTGTCTCGTTATGTCTGGGTTGCAAGCCTGATGTACTGACCGACTAATTGATCTGACTGACTGACTGATTGACTGCATGTACTGACAGCCAGCCTGACAGACTGACAGACTGACAGACTGACAGACTGACAGATTGACTGTAATGAGAGATTTGACAGACGGTCGGATTGACTGGAAGACTGAGAGTCGTACACACTGACAGGCGGAAAGACTAACTGACTAACAAATTGACAGATTGGCACACACTGAGGGCCAGATCCCACTGGCAAAGAGGATTGGAATAAGTGGCTGAGTCTGGACGTGTTCCACACAGAGATGCAGAAAAGCAGTTCAATCACAATTGTTTGCACCTGTCCATAAACATCTCCAGATTCAGAGGCTGATTCCAATCCTCTTTGCCAGTGGGAGCTGGCCCTGATTGACTGAGAGGCTAACTGATTGATTGAAGTAGTGTACCGACTGACAGACTGACATATTCTCTGACTGACAGACTGACAAACTGACATATGACATGCTGTCGCTGACAGGCAGACTGACTGCCTGACTGATTCATTGTACAAACATCGCTGACATACTTACTGTGCTGCACTCCACTGTACCCTACTGCCGTTGGCAAGGTCAACTGACCGACCAACCAACCGAGTACTGGATGGATGGATGGATGTATGTGGGTGGGTGGGTGGGTGGACAGACAGGGGACTGCTGCACCAACAGACCAACTGATTGATGAAATGCACAACATCTCATTCCAACACGCAATACGCTGGCTGGCATCCCCTTCAAAGCTTTCAACTGATGTCCGTTGACGTAAGAACTGATCTTCTGTGGCAGCTTTGAAGATATGATGATTGTGTCTGTGTGCTTGTGTATAATCGAAGTCGGAAACAAACCCGCATCTGACGGCAATCAATCGACGTTTTCACAACTAATGACAAACATCGACATTCCAAATCGCCTTGCATCCGACGGCAAGTGATCACAGTCAATCTGTGTTGCAAATCAAATTCCATCTGATAGCAAATTGGCAAGCAATCACTCTGTGTTGGGTACAACTGTCTGCAATCACTTGTACAGGTGACCAAAAGCCTATCACTTTGATTGATGTCACTAATTGCACATTGATTCTTTCGATTGCCTGCATCATCACAAAGCGATCAGAAAAGAAAAGAATAGCTTTCCAGAAGCTAATTTGTGTCAAGTTATGAACAATGTAAACACCTGCACTGTAGTATTTGTCATTCTTTTTTTTTCTTTTTTTTGGAAAGCTGTCTTTTCCTCACATATGGGATAGCTGTATTCACTACGCTATTCTCGTCTCTCAATATTTCTTCTTCACGCTGCAATTCTAAGTCCAGTTTGTCCGTTTTTTATACCGGTAGCATAGCATGGGAGGCGAAAGGCTATGGGTTGGGTACTCAGCATCCAGATATGGGTAATAGAACCGAGTAATCGCCCTAAGGTATCCCAGCCTACCTAAGCAAACTTTACTCTGTGCGGGGAGTAGTACCCGGGATCCTAACCCCTAGTGAGGGATGGCAAGACTTCATTCCAATTGGGGGGGAAATTTTTTTTATGTTTCTTTTTTTACTTTTTTCCGGGGGGGGGGAGGGGATTCCGAGGGAGGGGGGAAGAGACAGGTTTGATTTAGGTGTTTGTCAGGTGCACCTGTACATGTCGCGAAGTCTGTTCATCTTCCTCGGCGAGACGACTTCATCCTCTGCGTGTTACACAAGAAACACACTATCAGTCAAATGGGCAGCAAAATCTAGAGAGCAATGGGTCAGCGAATGAGCAAGAGTCGATCATATGACTATTTGATTTCAGTCCACGCTGACAATCTGAATTCAACTGACGATTAGACAGCTCATTCTGTCACTCATCAGTCATGAGCAGTAGGGACTGGTTTCCAAGGTTGATTGGACCACATTCCAGGAGCCACTGCATTTACACAATGTGCTGCTATGTTTAGATCTTGCATGTTGACCAACCATGTACAAGGAATATGAGCGAGAGCGATAGACAGAAAACCAAGTTGCAAAATCATGAAGTAGCCCAGATAGTCATGTACCAAGCAGAGAGCACAATGCACCAAGATTCTATCCAAATATAAAAGAGCAATACAATGAACTCGTATGCCAGTGTTGACGCTCTCTGGTCACACCAACACAGTGTCCAATGTCGCTCCTACTGTATGGCGCCCAGCGCCCAGCCTACACTACTCAGCCTATCGACACCTATCTACGTTCGTGCAACTGGATCACACCGAAGTCGAAGACCAATGTACGCGACGTCATCACCAATGCCGACCACCAGCATACACCAGGTACGTTCTCTCTTCTCCCCTCATCACCCCTCGTCTCCCCACCTCATGCGCCTCCTACCCGAAGACCACCATCACCATCACCTGCCTGCGCCCCAGCTGCCCGGCTATGGCTGCTGTGCGCCCTCTGCCTCAGAAGCACCCCTCTCACCACTGCACCCGTGCGCACGTCCGACCAGCAGCGCCCATGCAGACACCAGCGCAACAATGCAGCATCGTGTCCGCATTGCCTGCGAAGGCCAGAATGAGCCTGCCTGGGCGAGGCACTTTCCTTTATGGAAAGTGCGGCCCTGTGTCTGGCTGCGTGGCCCTGGCCTGGGAACTTTCCAGTAGCTTCCAGTCGGGCCCCAGTGTCTGTGCCCAGGCCCACCTCTGCTGTTACTCCCTGAGCCCTTTTCAGTTGGGCACCTCCAGACAGCCGTCCAGCCTCCAAGTGTTTGCCACATTCTCATTGGCTCGCGGAGGTTGTGTGACGACAATGCTTTCTCATTCGTTCGCGGCGACTGCGTGATGTGTTGGCCTCCCACTGTGTGTGCCCAGGGTGCAACCAACCGGGGCCCTGGGCTCAACTGTGAAGCGCAGCTATTGTTTCTGGAAGGAGCCAGCAGAGGCTCACATTGCTTTGTAGCCACCTGGCGTGCTGCAACTGTCTGATACCCCACATATGGAAAAATGTTGAAAAGGGGCTTCACGTAGAGATTCAGGCCCCGCCTTCACTTAGGGCGGGCACAATCCTTGCTGGGGGCCACGGCCCAGAACACTTGGATGTCTGTGAGGGCCTCGTGAGGGCTCATTCCTCGCACATGTGGCGATGGATTGATTAAGCCTCCCGTGCAGGGAACAAGGGCCCAAGCTTTTTTTTTTCTTTTTTTTTTTTCAGCTGGTAAATTTATTTTAAGCTGGAAACAGGGTCCAGCATCCCCTTACAAGAGAACAAGCAGAACGCTTCCAACCCTGAGACAGCGGCATTGATTACTTCCTGCAAGAACCTCACTTTCAACATGCATACATATAGATGCTGATGGCTGATGAACTCTCAGAAGGCAGAATCAGCAACAAGCGTGAGATGGCGCACCGCGCCTACACAGAAAACTCAGATACATGGCCCTTGGCCAGAAACTCCGTACAAGTCAACTTGTCACAGCTTGCGGCTATGGCGTCCGAACGCCATTCTTTATTCCCACCCGTACACTGTGTCCACCATCAGACTCACTCGCAAATACACACATGCTAGGATCTACCCTGAATGTCCACGCAAGCACATACACACACACTACGTCCTATCTGTTGACGTCAGCAACCTAGCGGCTATGGTCGCCATCATCTTCCTCCTCTACTAGTGGCTATGGCCGCTGCCCTCTTCTTCGCCGGGCACCTGCAGACCTCCAACGCACAAGTCGCACTAGCAGCACTTCCGCATGGCTCACAGGCGAATGAATGAATAGCTGGGCGCTGCCTCTTTATTTATACCATTTCGTTGTGGCCTGGCCTGCCTTCTGTCCCGGGCCCAAGGAATGTGCAGCCCCACCTTGTCCTTGCTGACTAGACGAGGTTGACTGGGACTGCGACTGCGACTGGACTGTACTTTGCTGACTCACCTACGGACGACTGACTTCTACAGCCTTGAAAGGTTGAGTTGACGATTCTAGAACCACCTAGGCTACGACTGACTGACCCTTCGCCATACTTAGACCTAACCTCCCCCTCGCTGACTCAGCTAACCTACTGACTTCTAGAAGATCCTGGGCTAAGGGCGGACAGACCCTTAGGGCTACTAATCCTATAGTCTACGGTTCAAGTCCACACGACCCGAACTACATACACAACACACAGACATACGTTTTAAGAGACAGGTCGCAGGTTCAAGGCACACAGGGCGTCGGGTCACTGTACAAGGGTATGGGATAGGTCTAGCGATCGAGCCCTGGGATCTGCACTTGCCGCACGAACTGGGTGGAGACCCTTTCAGATTTATCTCCGCTCAACCCCTGTCCTCCTTAACCACTAAGCATTCCATCAAGCTACACCTTGTCTCCATAAATAACCTGGGCCCAAGCTAGGCCCAGCCAGATTGGAAATCTGGAATTGCAGCCAGGTGCATAATCTGGAGTTCCAGCCAGGTGAAGTACAGTTTGCAGATAATCAAATTCTAGACCAGTTTCCTTTGAAACTTTGGAGGTCATCTGAGAGGAAGAGGAAAGGAAGAGGGGAGGAGGAGGGGATGAAGAGGGGAGGAAGAGAAGAGGAAGAGGAGAGGAAGAGGGGAGGAAGAGGGGAGGAAGAGGGGAGGAAGAGGAAGAGGAGAGGAAGAGGAGAGGAAGAGGAGAGGAAGGGGAGAGAAAGGGGAGAGGAAGAGGAGAAAGAGGAGAGGAAGAGGAGGGGAATGGGAGAGAAAGGGGAGAGGAAGAGGAGAAAGAGGAGACGAAGAGGAGAGGAGGAGGGGGGGGGGGCAGGAGGAGGAGAGGAGCAGAGGAGGAGAGGAGATGATGAAGAGAAGAAAAGGATAGCCACAGTGGGCAGAGGACAGTTGCACATATAGATACAACAACACCAAGAAAAGCCATGAGGAGGATGAAGATGATAAGGAGGAGGGAGGAGGAGGAGAAGCAGGAGGAGAAGAGGAGGAGGAGCACGAGGAGTAGGAGGAAGAGGAGAAGGAGGAGGAGGAGCAGGAGAGAAGGACGAAGGGAGGAAGAGGTCCAAAGAAGCTACATGTCCAGATCAATACAGCTGTTGGGAGTTGAGAACTGGAAGTAGTGTGAACACTGTAGTACTTACTGTTGCATACTTTGAAATAAAGAAGCAATAGCTCCTCTGGTATGTCAGTAGCAAGTCTGACGCGTTCGTTTGATTGCCACAAAAAATTGCCTTCATAGTCTGCAGACACACAAGTTGTTGCCACACAGATTGGCATGCACAGAAAGGAGTTGAAAAGACAAATTGCCATGATATCACAATCCAAACAGAGACAGCATTCAAACGAAATCCAAAATTCCTTTCTTTTCTTTCTCCCCCGGAAACAAGCAATAAACAGGTTTAGCGTCCCTTACAATTTCCATCCTGTAATGGGACGCTGGGCCCGTTTTCCAGCAGGTGAAGCTCCCCACCAATAGATGGAGCCTCTCCCCGGTGCTAGTGGTGTCTGCTCTCACCAGCACCACTAGCATTGCAGAGGGTGTGTTTTTTTAAAATAAAAATAAAAAATAAAAATAAAAAAAATAAAAAAGTGTCCCTTACAATTTACTCACCCCGTGCTTCCCTCCGTTACGCTCGAGAGACCCTGAGACAGCAGCATTGATTTCTTTCAGAATGGAAAGGACTACCACCGCACTAACCCTGTTCTTTTTCTACTCTTACTTCTCACGGCGCCCCCGTGTCTAACTCTGCAATGCTTCTCTCACCCCTGTGCAGCTGTCTAATATCTTTGTTATTCTAAAACACAAAAGAAAAAAGTTCAAAAAACACTTTCCGTTGTTTCCGAGTCGTTTAAAATCTGGAAAACGGCTTCGGAGTCCCTTACATCAGTACTCAAGTGAAGCTTCCGTCCATTCTCAAGGAAGGACCAGCAGCTGTCTGATATCTTTTAATAAGGTCGCCACTCTAGAGCTGTTTCAGATGGGCCATTGGGAAAGTTTTTTGGGCCAGGTCTCTTTACTATCTGCCTCCCAAAGTTATGGCCAGGAGAGCATCCGGCAGCATTGACTGCTCCCGACTTAGGAGGATTGACTGTTGGGTATACCTACTATACTCTCATAAAATTTACTCCCTTGAATGAGCTGAATCCCTTCCCCTCTAGGTGCTATCTTTTGCCAAAAGAGGCGAGCTGATAATCTAACTGAGCTGGCGTTGCTCGTCTCCTGCAATGCAGATTGTCTTGGGCCGGCCGAATGGTTCTGTAATTTCCTCCCCAGTATGTAGTGCAGGCCAGAAGTTAAGTCATTGTAGGACTTGCATCTTCCTGAATTCTCGATGCCTGTTGCGTGCTCATCGGATAAGTGCAGCGTGGAAAAGTAAGTTGTTAGTGGCAAAAAAAAAAAAAAAAAAAAAGGAAAAAGAAGTTGCTAGCGCCTGCGACCAATTCATTAGCAACTGAGATTGAATGCAGATGGAGGAAGATCTACCGTCTTTCCCCGAATAGAAGGTATGGACATTATCGCTGCATCTGGACTGAAAGTTGTCACCATACACTCTTTTTTTTTTTTTTTTT